ACAACGAACGAACATTGGTGTTTATTCATGGTTGCGTAATATAATTCAGTCAGACTAGTTTCCTCAGTCTTTCCTTGTTGCTTTAGACTGTGTCACTTTGATGATGGTTTGTTCATGTACGTACTTTTTATGATTTATGATTCTTTTTATGATTCCTTTGTGTTTATCGACGTATATTTTTTGGATTTGTGGAGTATAAATGCGTTGTATTTCTGTACATGATTCAGTTTATTATTTTGTGTTGTATGCGAGTTTTGCGTAGCTAATTATATGTGCTTATAGTATGTGCTCAATTGATTGGTGACTAGAAGTTCGGAAGTTCGGGAAGTATTTTGGAATGTGTGTTTGCGCAATGAAATTGTGTGTTTTGTTGCAGGATGCTATTGTGAATTCATTCATTCGATGATCCTTTGCAGTGTCTAGGCGACAAAGGTGTGGAACACGAAGCAATCAGTCGAAGACTATGCATTGGACTGTTAAAGTTGACGGTGGTCCAAGACGTGTTAATCATGCAGCCGTTGAGTTGAATGGATTTATTTACTCGTTTGGTGGGTTCTGTTCCGGTGAACATCATGACGGAAAAATCGCACTCGATATTCATGTTCTCGATACAGGTCATTGCCTTAACACTTTGTGCAGAATGGCGGTTTTTGATGACGGCTTTGAGTTAACTTAGTTCTGATCATTCAATTAATCACTTCTTTTCAAGCGTTCACGGAATTCATCGTCTCAAAAATCATAATCTCAAAAAAGATTCTTTCTCTTCAGAAACATACCGTTGGCGTAAACTGCAAACACGTAACGAAGAATCAATGGGTTCTGAGCTATCGCTAGGACGAGAATTATCAGTGATACCGTATCAGCGATACGGGCATACCGTTGTAGCATATCAGGGTAAAGCCTATCTGTGGGGTGGTAGAAACGATACGTATGGTACAAGCTCAAAAATGCATGTTTTTGATCCTGGTCAGTTTGAAATTTCGATTTCAATTGTTGAAATTCCCAATGGTATGAATTCGCTTCGAATTCATCAGTTGAAGTTTGTAATGTGCGATCACTGAAACAATGATAAATTTCGATGACCCACCCGCTTCTATTATTGCTCAAACGAAGCATCAATCGATGGTCATTTTGATACCCATCTTCTCGCCATGTGACTATCCTGAAATTTCAATTGAAAACGCCGCATAATGATTGTGGAATGAATCTGCGGAGGACTTAAAAGTTTTTACAGTTTGTTTTTAAACGTTTGTCTTATGACAGCCAAACTGAAGTGATTTATTTCGCTAATCAAGCTGAACGCATATAATCAAATGACATTTCGATGCAAGGTTAACACTGGAACGTAATTCTGTTTGACCGTTAATTTTTCTGATGAAAACTTGTTTCCAGTTAAGTGACACGTTTGTTTTGCATAAAATCTGATTAGTTTAGATAATGAAATATTCTCACAGTTACTGTCGTCTTCATAAGAACGTCAATTGTGTGAGAGTTATCTTATTTTTCATCGATTCGATAAAAAATTGTTGGTGATTTATTAGCGATTCAGTGCATTATTGTTGGTCATCATATTTCGTTGAATGCGTAGTGGTTTTTGTTCATTACCCACCCAATGAATCGCATGGTCGTCTACACTCTTGTTTGATCGAAACGATTTGAATGGCACCGAACCGAAAAACTTGATCAATTCATATTCTCCCCATTAAATTCTTTTTTGGGCTGCAACGGACAAATTGTTTGCGTAGAGTATGGTTTGAAGAAGCAATAGCAGTTCAATGCATAAGTTCCAAAATAACCTCGATGAGTCTACGTGATTTATTAGGTAAATGAAACTATCGAATTACTATGCTTAGTTCAAGTGGATTTCATGACTGTTTTGAAATGAAAATAAGTGACCGCATGTTTATTGCAGAAACATGCACGTGGTCATTACTAGATCGGGTTGGTCAATGTCCACCCGCACGGGATGGACATAGTGCAGTTGTTTATGAAGATAAGATGTTCATTTTTGGTGGTTTCGAAGACGAAACACAACGGTTCGAATTTATTTCTTCATTTTTGGTTGCCAGCTGAAGAAATCGCTCGGTAGTTATAGATAAAATCTTTGTTGGATCGTTTGTCAAGTTATAATTAATCACGATTAATTTTTTTTTCATTTATTAGGTAAACCGTAATTAATCACCGTAATTAATCACGATTAACTACGCGAATTGCTCTCTTCGGTTCCATCGTAAGAAGTTCATTTCTCATCTGTTGTTGCAGTGAATAAGTTGTAAGCGCATTTCAGATTCAGTCAGGAGACCTACGCGTTTGACTTCAAAACACTGCAATGGACCGAAATCAGAGCAACCGTAACCTTTATTTCTCGTTTTTGTTTCTTTGTCATATTCTTCGTATGTGATCAGTCTGAAGGAATGCGTTTCTGCAGTCAATGCCCTGCAGTAGTTTTAGCACTGATGAATACTACCACGAATGTCATCTGTCGTTGTTTAGCTTTGAGTCGATATCAAATTTGCTGCTCAAATTATGATGTTTCGTTCTTTTCGGTTTTGTTAACATGAAACGCATTGTTGTACTGTTTGAGAATCTCTTAAACAAATGCTGGATTTTACAAAATTTGTCGTATATCTTCAAACACTTAACATGTGCGTTCGTTCATCTTTTGAGATTCAGCAAATGCGTTGAGTTCTAGTGAAGCACTTGAAATTGCTGGAATTTTAGTGTGTTTAGAGCAAGTTCGTATCGGATGCTACAGATGAGACTAGCGCAATAATTTTAAATTTTTTTGCACGTCGGGGTTGTTTTGCTTCTTTTTTTGATTCATGAAGAATTAACGGTTTCATTCGTTCGTTGCACGTTACAGGGCTCACCACCACTATGGCGTGATTTCCATACGGCTTGCGTTCTCGACAGTAAAATGTACATTTTCGGT